TCGTCTCTACAGAAAATCAAAATATTAGCTGGGTGTGGTGGCACACACCTGTAGTCCCAGCTATTTGAGAGGCTGAGGGTGGGAGGATTGCTTGAACCTGGGAGCCATGATTGTGCCACTGCACTCCAATCTGGGCAAAAGTGAGACCTTGTCTTAAATAAATAAATAAATATATTTGCTATGAGGTTCTTTATAGAAAATATTTGTCATATCTTAAAATGACATTATAGGATTTCATTTCATTTCATATCCTCTTATTTAAGGCTAAAATGATCTAGCAAGTAAAAGCGCAGGATAGCCAGTTAAATTTGAATGTAAGATAAACAAGAAATTTTAAATTTCAGAAAATGTAAACGTATATTTAGGAGATTCCTTACAAGCACAAATTGTGTCATGGTAAAGTCTGGGATTCTGGTGTGCCCATCACCAAATGGCAAACATTGTACCAACAGGTAATTTTTCAACCCTCAACTCCCCTCTCCCCAACTCTCCCGCATTTGATTATCTCCAGTGTCTATGACTGCCCTCCCTCTGGATGCCCATGTGTACCCACTGTTTAGCTCCCACTGATAAGTGAGAACATGAGGTATTTGACTTTCTGTTTCTGCATTATTTCATTAGGATAATGAACTCCAGCTCCATCCATGTAGCTGTAGAAGATATGACTTCATTCATTTTTATGGCTAAGTAGTATTCCATGACATACACATATATCACATTTTCTTTTTCCAGTCCTTCGTTGATGGACAGTTAGGTTGATTACATATTTATGCTACTGTGAATAGTGCTGCAATAAACATGTGAGTGCAGGTACCTTTTGGATACAATAATTTTCTTCCCTTTGACTATGTATGTAGTAGTGGGACTGCCGGATTGAAGGGTAGTTCTGTGTTTAGTTCTTTAAGAAATCTTCATTTTTTTTGAGGTTTTAATTTTATTTATTTGGGTACCAGTGATTGATTCCAAATAAACCTTTTTACAAAAAGGATCTAAGGTGGTTTATGGCTACATATGAAATATAACAGGATAACAGGTAGATGAGAAAGTAAAATGAAAAAATCAGGTTAGGAGACACAAAATAGACCCAGGGATGAGGCTAAAAGATTTATAATTTGGTGTTGATGCTGTCATCTGATAGGGCATGTTGCTCATACTGTTGCTCTGAGGGAGTGCCTCTTGAGAATTTTCAAAAAATGATGTGAAGTTTGAGGTATATATTTTAAATCTTTGTATTTTTAAAGTATAAGTATGTTCCATGAAATATGTCCAGATTATACTTAAGCTAAACATTGTTATGTTAAAAACTCAAATGGGGCTTCATATATAGAGAATATATATGTATATATATGTATATATGAATATACACACATATATATACACACATGAAGCCCAAGAAATATGTAGAGAATATATATGTCCTATATATATTCTCTGTGTGTATATATATCTCTAATATATATATGTCCTATATATATATTCTGCCTGTGTGTGTGTGTGTGTGTGTGTATATATGTGTGTGTATATATATATATATATATATATTAGAGTCAGGTCTTGCTCTGTTGCCCAGGTTGGACTGCAATGGTGTGATCGTAGCTCACTGCAGCCTTGACCTCCAGGGCCCAAGTGATCCTCCCTCCTCAGCCTTCCAAGTAGCTAGGACTACAAGTGTACACCACCACACCTGACTATATTAAGAAAAAATCTTTTTAGAGGTGTTGCCCAGGCTGGTCTCAAAACTGCTGGTCTCAAGTGATCCTTCTACCGCAGAGTCCCAAGTTGCTGAAATTACAGGCGTGAGCCACAGCTCCTGGCTCAGTTTCCTGCATTTTATCTGGTAACCCTATCTAAGGTCATTCATGATCTGACTCCAAGAATCTTCTCAAACTTATTTTCTGCTATCCTCTTTACTACTGTTGCTCCACATCTGGCCTTGACCAGCTAAGCTGCCCTGCTCTTTATTTTTTGTACATGGGCTGGCTTTCTTCTGCCAGAATGTCAGGCTGTGTGCAAACATTCCCTTCTTCAGGGAGCATTCTCTGAAGCCATGCTTGCCTACAAGAAATCCTTTCTCCCTCAGGTCCCACACTATTTTATCTCTACTTCTTAAAATGGAACTTGGCAGTTTTGATATCATTAGGAATTTTTTCCCTATACTTATCTTGCCTACCAGTTACAATGAAAGGCTTTAGAACAAATTAGTCTAGTAGGAATTCCAGACCCACTCCTCACTGAATGGCTGTGTGACCTCAGGCAAGTTGCTTCAATCTCTGAGACCTTATTTGCTCCTCTGTAGAGCAGGGATAATAAAATGACCCTGTGCTGTTGCAAGGATCGAATTAGTTACTACAGTATACATGAGGCACATATGACAACAGCTGGCACTTCAGAAGAATGGGATCCACGTGCTTCATCTATCTGGAAGACATGACGCCTCGTACCAAGAAAGCGCTGAGTAAATATTCATTAAAAGAGTATCTTTAAATTATTGCTGTCTTTGGTTGGTAGGTTAAGAGTGCTGCATACGATAAATAATCTTCATGACACAGAGCAAGGAGCTATTTTCAAGATGACCAAAGAACAAATTTTTATAACTGATTGAAACATTCCAGAAGGAAAATGTCTGAGAACAGCAAACACAATTTTGAAAAAAAAAGGTAGTGAGAGGAGTTTGCCTCACTAAAAATTAAAACAAACTCTATAGCTACTAGACTTAATAGTATGTGGCACTGGCCCAGAGCGAGACAATACAAGGGAAGACCAAAATAGAGTCTGAAAACATACCCGAGAAGAAATGGGAGCCTAACACTGACAAATGAAGCATTTAAATCCAGTAGGAAAAGGACGAATCATCTTAATAAATTGGAATAACATAATTGTGTATCCATCTAAAAGTGAACAAATTAGATCTCTACTTCATAGAATAAAAATTTAAGATGTAGCCAGGTGCGGTGGCTCATGCCTGTAATCCCAGCATTGTGGGAGGCCGAGGTGGGCGGATCACGAGGTCAGGAGATCCAGACCATCCTGGCCAACGTGGTGAAACCCCATCTCTATTAAAATACAAAAAATTAGCCAGGAGTGATGGCGGGCGCCTGTAGTCCCAGCTACTTAGGAGGCAGAGGCAAGAGAATCACTTGAACCCGGGAGGCGGAGGTTGCAGTGAGCTGATTTTGTGCCATTGCATTCCAGCCTGGCGACAGAGCAAGACTCAGTCTCAAAAAAAAAAAAAAAAAAAAAATTAAGAGGTAAGTAAAATTAATAGAAAATCTGGGAAACATCCACATCATATCTGGGAGGAGAGACTTTCTTTTCTTTCTTTTCTTTTTTTTCTGAGGCAAAGTCTCACTCTGTCACCAGGCTGGAGTACAGTGGTATGGTCTCAGCTCACTGCAACCTCCACCACCCGGGTTCAAGTGATTCTCCTGCCTCAGCCTCCCGAGTAGCTGGGATTACAGACGTCTGCCACCACGTCCAGCAAATTTTTTGTATTTTTAGTAGAGACAGGGTTTCACCATATTGGCCAGGCTGGTCTTGAACTCCTGACCTCACGTGATCCACCTGCCTCAGCCTCCCAAAGTGCTGGGATTACAGGTGTGAGCCACCGCGCCTGGCTAACAGACTTCTTAAAAGCAAGATGGAAACCTAGAAACTGCAAGGGGAAATTTGACACAAGAAAAAAAACAATAATTGCTTAGATTGCATATATCATACACTAAATCAAAATATAAGCCTTGGGTTGGAAAAAATATCTGAAATATACAAAAATGGGATAATCACAAATTGCACTGAAATTGGCAGACTGGTCTAAAGTTTACGGAAGAAGTCTGAGCTAATGTATTTAAAGCCACGAGAGTGGATGAGAACACCTAGGGAGTGAACATAAATGGAGAAGTTTCCATAGATAAGTCCTGGACATCACAGTGTTAAGGGTCAGGGAGATAGGGATGACCAGCGAGGTAGGAGGAGAACTAAGCTCGAGTGTGTTTGGAAAACCAAGTGGACAGCATGTTTCCAGGATGCAGTGATTTTTTTTTTTTTTGAGACGGAGTTTCGCTCTTGTTGCCCAGGCTGGAGTGCAATGGCACGATCTTGGCTCACCACAACCTCCACCTCCCAGTTTCAAGTGATTCTCCTACCTCAGCCTCCCTAGTAGCTGGGATTGCAGGCATGCACCACCACACCCAGTTAATTTTGTATTTTCAGTAGAGATGGGGTTTCTCCATGTTTGTCAGGCTGGTCTCGAACTCCCGACCTCAGGTTATCCGCCCACCTCAGCCTTCCAAAGTGCTGGGATTACAGGTGTGAGCCACCGCGCCTGGCTTTCAAGATGTAGTGATTAACTGTATCAGGTGCTGATCGATATGAAGGTCATTGCTGGTCATTGGTGACCTTGATCAGATCAATTTGGATGGAGAGCCAGGAACAGAAGGCTAATTGGAGTGGATTTGAGAGAACGGGGAAGAAGGAACTAGAGACTGGGTATAGATGACTTGAGGTATGTGCTGCAATAGGAGCAGATGGAGGGAGATGCAGCGGGGCTGTAGCTGGAGGAGTGTGGGTTCTAGTGAGGGTTTTGTTTTGTTTTTTAAGATGGAGAAATAACAGCATGTTTATGCTGATGGAAAGACTCCAGTAGAGAGGAAGAGATTGAGGATGTAGGAGAGAGGAGAAATGCTGGAAGTGAGTTGCTGAGCAGGCAAGGGAGCTCGGCAGCTGGAGCCTCTCCAGGCAGTCTCTGGGGGCAGACGGGATTGGACTGAGTCCTGGAACAGAGGTGGGGTGAGCACCCTGACACTGGCCTTGGACGACCACTGGAAAGATCCCTCAGATAGGGAACATGCCAGAGATCGGCTTGGATTTGCTGAAACTTCCCTCTGCCCCCCAAAAGCAGATTCTAATTTGGATTTCAACAGATGGCTCAGAGGAGAGAGGGCATTCTGGGGGCACTGGCATAAGCATGGGGCCTTCAGACATTCAAACTGACTGAGGCCAAATGGGCAGGAGGATGTGGGTAAAGCCAGGTGGGTGGACAGGGGTGGCTATGAGAAGATGCCATAGGCAGAAGCCAGCCCCTGAGGCCTTCTCACCTACCTAATCAGCCCAGGCAGCTGTGGCTGCACTGAACCACCTCCGAGATTGAGTGCTGAGCAGAGATTAGAATCATGAGTAAGGGGCTCAGTCCTTGCCTTCAGGAGCTCAGGCTGAGAGGATTCCAGTAACCACCATCTAGATGGGTGTTTAAAACTCTTGCTTTCGGCTGGGTGCAGTGGTTTATGCGTTTAATTCCAGCACTTTGGGAGGCTGAGGCGGGAGGATCGCTTGAAGCCAGGAGTTGGAGGCTGCAAGGAGCTCTGATCATTGCACTGCACTCCACCTTGGGCGACAGAGCAAGCCCCTGTCTCAAAACACAAAAACGAAAACAAAGTGCTTTCCCCTAGCCCGGCATACGTGGGTGAGTCTGCTGGAGGCAATGGACGCTGCAGCCAGTCAGACCCCTGGTAGCAGAGTCTGGGCCCACCAACGGCCCAGCAGAGGCAATGTGGAGTACAGGGTCTGCTGGTCCTCTGGTCACACCCACTCATGCTGGTCTCCACATGCTCTTTATATCCCCAGAGGTCGACAGTGTGGGGGATTGGAGTGACCCAGCTGGATGTGACCCCCAAGACAGAATGGTGCTGGACTTGGGGGCTCAGGGGTATGACCAGGCACCCCCCAGCCTGCCTACCAGCCTCCCATCCCTGCGCCATAGGCTGAAGCCCTCAGACCAAGATGGGCCACCGCTGTACCCCTGGTCTCAGCCCCTGGCCTTGCCCCTGGCTCTGGCAGTCCCCCCAGCACTGCAGCCCCAGACTGAGCAGCAGCCCTTCTCACAAAGGCACCTGGGCCACTGTGGCCACATGCGTCGCAGTGAGAGCACCTACTCTGTAAATAGTACTGGCCGGCGGGCGCATGGCACCCTGGGATGGCCTCTACCTGGATGGGGACAGAACCCAGGTGGGCGCACCCTGTGGCCTGCAGCCTCCCTGCCTCACGTTGCTAAGACTCAAAGGGATGCAGGACATAGTGCCAGCAAGAGCCCCTGCATGTTGGTGGCCCTGCGGCCAACCAATACGGACCATGAGCGAGACAACTTCTTCCAGTCCCATTACACCTACAATTCACCCTCCGAGTACCGGGAGCCCATGCCCACGCCTGTGCTCGAGTACTGCGAGGCCTCTGGATAGTTCATCCATCAGGCAGTTGGCATCACTGAGCTGTTCTGGAGAAGTCTGGAACCTATGAACACTTTGAGGCTGTCACCGGGAAGCAGCTGCTCACAAGTGCCAAATATGGTCCATTGTGCGCAAAGACATGCGGAAGAAGGGCTGCGTCGAGGAGACTGTGGCGCAGCTGAGTGAAGACCTGCTGTCCCAGGCAGTGATGACGGTGGACAACAGCCGGCCCACATTGGCGATCAACCTGACCGGAGCCCGCCAGTACTGGTTGGAGGGCATGCTGCGGCATGAAATAGGTCAGGGTATGGGTATCCGGCGGATGGGTCGGCATGAAAGGGGCCTGGGAGCTGGGAGGGGTGGGAAGGAGGGGCCCGAGTAACTCCCCTTTTTGTTTCTCCCCCTTCCCTCCTGAGGTCGGGGCTTTCCCTTCCTGAGCAGCCACCTCCGCCCTCTGGCTCACAAAGGTGGGCCAGAACATGCCCGCCAATGCTCTGGGCGCACCCTCATCTCTTGGTCCTTTCGGGTATATTTTTCTCTCTCCACTTCCTCTCCGACTTCTCTCGACAGTGGGGGCAAGGCTGGTGAGGCCCTGACAGGCCAGAGGGAGAACCCTCAGGGTCTCACCAGGCCAACCCTTCAGGGTGGATGGAAGGCCAGATCCTGGGAATGGACTTGGCTTGAGGACACACGGCGCCTGGTTTAGGTGGGGACTGGCCAGGCTGGGCAGGAGTGTGCAGGGCACTAACCACTATTTCTATCCGTCTGTCCCTCTTCCTCGAGAATCCTGTTGCTCTGGGCAAGAGGTGGTTTTTGCCGGGCGCATCAGCTGAGTGTTCAAAATGATATGGACACCCAGGATGGGCAGGAAAGTATACGTATTCTTGTGCCCAGGCGGGCTGGGGGCAATGTCAGTTCGGGAGAGTTCGTGCACGTGTGTGGGTGCGTGGGTGAAGGGTGGGGGGCGGATGGGTGGGAGAGGATTCATGTATGTGAGCCGCTGTGGATCCCTGGGTGCGAGTCCACCGGAGGAGGGGCTTCACGCTGCGTGGGGCCGGGAGAGCTTGTGTGCAAACCTGAGTTCAGGAGCATGAGGATCCAAGTGTCTCGGCCTGAGCCCCGGCCCAGTGGAGCAGAGCCAGGGCTGGGCTCGCAGGCGGGTCCCCGAACGCCCCGCCCAGCGCTGCCTCCCCTCGCCTTCCCCACAGACATTCGCTACCTGCGGGGCGTGAACGACGCGCGCCAGCCGTGGCACAACGCATGGGGCCGGCTGCGGTACGGGCTGCGGCCGCAGAACCCCACAAGGGGCACCTGGCCAGGCTGCACAGCGTGCTGTTCCGCAAGCGGCTCTTCCTGCGCTGCGCTGTGCTGCTCCGCTACCCCACGCCGTCGTTCTGCTACACGCTCCGCCGCGCTCTGCGCACGTCCTTCCGCCAGCTCGGCCAGGACGTGGCGCGCTACGTGCAGGACGCCGACGTGCGTCGCGAGCACTGCGTGCGCGCCCAGCGCGGCCAGACAGAATCCTCGCCGCCAGTTTGTTTCCGGCAGGGCCAGGTGTACCTGGACAGCATCGTGAGCATTCTGCGACATCGCCAGACCATCGATTTCCCGCTGCTGACCTCACTGGGCAGGGGGTCCTGTGAGTATGTGGACCACCTACGGCCCCATGGGGTGCTGGATAATACCCGGGTGCCCCACTTCATGCAGAACTTGGCACCTTACCGGCAGCAGCTGGAGCACATCGTGGCCACCAACCGGCTCGATGAGGTGGAGCTGGGTCGCCTGCTGCCCGACTGATGTAGGTTGAGGGCTACAGAGGCCCTGGACTAGAAGCTCCAGATAAGGCCCCCAGAACATGAAGCTTTTTGCTCTGTGCTTCCACGGCCTAGGTGTTTCTTGGGGGTGTTGGGAGGGCAGGAGCATTCCTTGAGAAGGAGTGGCAACATCAAAGGGTTTGTGTCCCTTGCTAGCCTCCCTGGGGCCTGGGGACCTGCAGCAGCATGTCTGGCAAACTGAGTCGCCCTCCTGCCTCCAGCTCTCTGTTGAGCAGAGGGAAGGCATGGGGGCAGAAGGGAGCTGAGTATTGATGGAGATGGGGTTGGTTTGGGAATAGAAACTTGTTCTTGCATGAGGTGGCTTTGGTTGTCCCGGTACTCCAGTCTGTCCCTTCCCTCACCTGGCCCCTTGGTGCTCCTTCAGCATTCGCGCTGTCTACCTCTCACTGGGTCCTGGTGGGGGTCGGGATCCCTTCTCCTGGGGTGATTGATGGCCTGAGCCTGGGGTCTTGGTAGTAGAGACCCAGCTGGTCTGGGGTGTGCTTTCCAACATTTTGCCTCTCTCCCTGGTCATGTATTTATTCCATATTTATATGGTCTACTTCCTGTGGCTGGGAGCAGCAGCTCCTGAAGGTTCCACTGGGGGGAACAAGACACTGCTTCCTGGAAGATACGGATTTTCCTAGCCCCACTCCCATTACACACACATACACACACACCCCTAGCCCCACTCCCATTACACACACACACACACACCCCTAGCCCCACTCCCATTACACACACACACACACCCCTAGCCCCACTCCCATTACACACACACACACACCCCTAGCCCACTCCATTACACACACACACACACCTAGCCCCACTCCCATTACACACACACACACATCCCTAGCCCCACTCCCATTACACACACACACACACCCCTGGCCCCACTCCCATTACACACACACCACCCACCCCTAGCCCCACTCCATTGCACACACACCACACACACACAGTGATTCAGGCCTTTGATACCGATTTCCTAGCCCCACCCCCCCCCCCCCCCCCCCCCCCCCCCCCCCCCCCCCCCCCCCCATTACACACACCCACCCCCCCCCCCCCCCCACCCCATACACACACACCACACACACCCCCCTAGCCCCACTCCCATTACACACACACACACCCCTAGCCCCACTCCCATTACACACACACACACACCTAGCCCCACTCCCATTACACACACACACACCCCTAGCCCCACTCCCATTACACACACACACACACACCCCTAGCCCCACTCCCATTACACACACACACACACACCTAGCCCCACTCCCATTACACACACACACACACACACACACCTAGCCCCACTCCCATTGCGCGCACACACACACACACACAGTGATTCAGGCCTTGTGATACCGATTTTCCTAGCCCCACTCCCATTACACACACACACACACACACACCTAGCCCCACTCCCATTACACACACACACACACACACACACACACCTAGCCCCACTCCCATTACACACACACACACACACACACACACAGTGCTTCAGGCCTTGTGATACCGATTTTCCTAGCCCCACTCCCATTACACACACACACACACACCCCTAGCCGCACTACACCACTAGCCCCACTCCCATTACCACACACAAAAAAAACAACCAACACTATACACACCACACCCTAGCCCACCACCACCCACTCCCATTACACCACACACACACACACACACACCACACCCCTAGCCCCACTCCCATTACACACACACACACACCACCCCACACCACACCCCCCCCCCCCCATTACACACACCACCCCACCCCCCCCCCCCCCACCCACACCCCCCACCCCCCCACTCCCCCACACACACCACACCCACTACCCGCCACCTAGCCCCACTCCCATACACACACACACACACACCCCTAGCCCCACTCCCATTACACACACACACACACCCCTAGCCCCACTCCCACACACCCCCCCCCCACCCCACACCCACCCCCCTAGCCCCACTCCCATTACACACACACACACACCCCTAGCCCCACTCCCATTACACACACACACACACCCCTAGCCCCACTCCCATTACACACACACACACCCCACCACCCCTTACCCCCCACCCCTCCCCATTACACACACACCACACCCTAGCCCCACTCCCATTACACACACACACACACACCTGACTCCCATTCCAACCACACCATAGCCCCACTCCCATTACACACACACACACACACCAACACCCACCCCATTACACACACACACACACCACCACCACCCTACCCCACACCCACACACACACACACCACCCCCCCCACCCACACCCCCCCCCCCCCCCCCCCCCCCCCCCCCCCCCCCCCCCCCCCCCCCCACACACACACACACACACACACACACACAGACACACTGACTCAGGCCTTGTGAATCAAGCCCAAGAGCTCCCTTGGCCCTGTCCCCACTCCCTCCTCTGGCCTCTGCTGTTCCTGTCTCTGCCCACACCCTCACAGCTGGTCTCTGGCAGAGGCTGGCGTAGTCTAGGAGCAGCTGCAATTGCGCCTGAGGGACAGTCCCTAGAGTTTGGTGGCCCAAGTCCTGAACCCCTCCTGGACCAGGTGAGGTGCAGAGGTGGTTGCTGCTTCCAGTTTCCCTTTAGACTTAGCTGTGTGAGCCCCACTCATACCCTTTGGCCTTAGTTTTCCCATCTGTAAAACTCAGAAACACAGTTGGAAAGTCCTTATTCATTTAGTCAGCGAATATAATATGTATAGAGCGCCTTTTGTGTAAGTTACTGGTCAGAATCCTCACTGAGCTCCCAGTCCAGAGGGAAGCCAGACAATTAAAACAGTAATAAAAAAAAAAAAAAGAAAAGAAAAAAGGAAAAAAAAGGGATAAGAAGCCTGACATATAAATAGCATGAATGGATAAGAACAAACAACCTGACAGAACAATGCAGGAAAATGCTAAAAGTTTAAATCTTAGACTTGAAAAGAAAAAATCACCAACAAAATGTGAAATAAAAATGCTCAGTTTAATTAGTTAAGAATTCAACTACATTCAAATGAAAAGAAAAGCCATTTGTCATCCTTAGAAAGAAAAATGATAAAAACAGCAGTAAAATCCTGTGGTGTGAGGCTAGAGGAAACTGGACACTCTTGTCCCTCACATGGAGGAGGGCAAAGTACTAAAACCTTTCAGAAAATATCTATTGAAGTGAAAACAGACGCACTCTGAATCAGTCATCCCACTTTTGAGAATCTGTTCTGTGGAAAATGCATGTTCTTCCTAACCTTTGCTAAGCATTTAAACACACACATAGGTATTACGACATATATAAATGTTTGTGCAATGATATCTATTATGGCATTGTTCATTGTGGCAAAAATCCAGAAGCAACCTTATGTCCATTACGGGTGGGAGGATTGAATAAAGTATGCATGTCTGCACTATAGAATATTTTGCAGCTATTAAGAAAGAATGATATGATTTTATAAATAATTGGAGAAATGTTCATGACATTGGTACTGAAAATGCAAGAGTAATTTGTAGAGAATGAACTTATTAAAAAAAGAAATAGGCCGGGCGCGGTGGCTCACTCCTGTAATCCCAGCACTGTGGGAGGCCGATGTGGGCAGATCACGAGGTCAGGAGATCAAGACCATCCTGGTTAACACGGTGAAACCCTGTCTCTACTAAAAATACAAATATTGCTAGGTGTGATGGTGTGTGCCTGGTCCCAGCTACTCAGGAGGCTGAGGCAGGAGAATCGCTTGAACCCGGGAGGCAGAGGTTGCAGTGAGCCAAGATCACACCACTGCACTCCAGCCTTTGTGACACAGCGAGACTCTGTCTCAAAAAAAAAAAAAAAAGAAAAAGAAACAAAATACAACAGATGAGCCTTATCTTTAATCATGCCACTTAATCTCCACTTTCTAAAGAAGATTAGTAACGGCTGTTACTAATAAGGTGAATGAATATTCCTCCTGATCTTTCTCTTGCATGCATAAGCTATTATATGCACCCATTAAAAATGCAAAATACTGTCTTGAGGTACTACTCTGACTTCATTTGTTTCATGATTTCATAATGTGTGTGCCATTTGCAATGTGTTGTTTTTCACTTAATAATGTGTCAGGAATTGTTCTTCATACCAGCTCAAAGCTATCCATCTCATTTTTAAAGAACTGAGTAACATTCCATAATATACTGGTAACATCATTTATTTAACTCTTCTTCTTCATATGGGCATTTAGGATGTTTCCAAATTTTTTGTTATTAACAAATAGTGTCTGATGAATACTCTTAGACATGTGTGTTTGTACACATGTGCAAGTACGGCTATAGGCTAAGCCAAACACCTAGGTGTGGGACTGATCTGTAGTATGATATGTAACATCTGAGCTTTTAGGAGGTAATGACACAGAACTCTTCAAAGTAGATATGCTGCTTCACAACACAACTCATGGTTTCCTGCCAGCTCCCAACATTATCCAGTGTTTATTTTCCTGTCAATCTAATGGGTTAAGAAAACAGTATGTCAAAATATTTCATTTGTATTTCTTGTATTACAGTGAGACTGAGCACCTTTTGGTCATTTTTGTTTTCTGGTCTGTGAATTGTTTTTCATACCCTCTCATTGATTGAATTTTTCTTTTCTTGATTTCTAGCAGTTCTTAACATACACAGAATACTCATATTTAGTCTGATAGATATAATAAAATATTGCTCCTGAGTGAACCACCTGCACTTCAACTTCACTTTTGATGTTTTTTGTTATAGTTTGAAATATTTTTACCCTTAGAGATATGTTGATACCATGTTTTCAAATATATTGGTAGAATGCTGAATATATGTTCCTTTTGTTTGCTGTTTCTGAGTATTGTTTAAGTGTGCTTTTGCTTTTTTCTGGATTAAATTGCCAAAGTTTCATCTTTCTTATTGTTTTTTTACTTTTTATTTATTTATTTTTTAGACAAAGTCTCGCTCTGTCGCCCAGGCTGGAGTACAGTGGTGCAATCTTGGCTCACTGCAAGCTCCGCCTCCTGGGTTCATGCCATTCTCTTGCCTCAGCCTCCTGAGTAGCTGGGACTACAGGTGCCCGCCACCACGCCCAGGTAATTTTTTGCATTTTTAGTAGAGACGAGGTTTCACCATGTTAGCCAGGACGGTCTCGATTTCCTGACCTCTTTATCCGCCTGCCTTGGCCTCCCAAAGTGCTGTGATTATAGGCATGAGCCACCGCGCCCGGCCTTAGCTTTTTCTAAGAACAATTTTTAACTTAATGATCAGGTCATGTCCTGTAGTATTTCTTTTTTTTTATTAGTTAATATCCATGTAAAAAGTTAGTTTTCTTCTACTTTTTTTGGGTTTCATTTGCACCTCTCCTTTTTTCCTACTTAAGAATATATATATATACACACACACACACACACACACACATATACATATATATATATATATACACATATACACACACACTAACTTTGTGCTTTAATTTATTCCAAGTGTCAGAAATGACCAGTTAAGGACAAATTGAAACTCTTGGCGTTCTTTAAAATTTAAACATCTTAATCCCTCAGAAGTTTCTGTCCTTTGCAGACAAGGTTGGGGAGCACAGCCTGAAACCTGCCACACCCACTGCAGCCACCCACCCACACTCACCGCAGCCACCCACCCACACTCACCCTC